TTTTCGAACAGTTGACGTCATTCACCTTCTTTTCGATCAGATGCACTCTTTAAAATATTGCCACCAGCATTTAAAAGTTTTTTTTTGCTGTAGGAATCAGGGAAGCAGTCTTAACCTTGAAAAAATATTGTTAAGATAAGTATGTAAAAATAAAGGGGAAAGAAAGAAATAACACACACACACATATAAATAATTATTATTTTATAAACATAACATCAAACATCAAAAAATACGAATTTCTCAACACTAAATTGATTTTTTTAAAGAAATTTTTGAATGGATTGTTGTGACCAGCGTATATATTTATGTATATCAAGTATGCAATATAATTGCGGTATTAAAAATGTTCTTTTTATAGTAAAATTATACTTACTTTGAAAGCATGCCCTTCTCAAATGCACTGCATGATGAGCCACCGACATTTAATAACTTCTATTTCTAAATTTAAAGGATAACACTAGTGTAATTGATATGGGACAATTTAGCGTAAGTTATATTGGGCATAGGAGCAATTCATTAGTGTTTTAATTAATTCAAAAATTTTGTGTAAATTATGTTTATTTGTTAAGTGAGGATTATGTATATAATTACAGATCAAAATTTTTTATGTAATTTACCTTTATAAAAAAAAAAACTAAACATTTAACCATAATAAATAATATACTACTTTTTGCAACATTAGTACCGAGAAATGATTGATCACATTCAAGAAACTTGGCGATAGAATCATACTAGTAAAGATCAAAACTATTCTCAACTTTAAACATTTTTTATATTTCATTATTCTTAAGATAAGTAAGTAAATGAATTAAAGACTATATATTAGTTAATTAAAAAACAATATGCTATTATAATTTATATATATATATATAAATTATAATAGAAAAAATATATATTACATCTTCGCTTCCAACAAGGCTGCGAACAAACACTATAAGAGTTTGGAAGTTATTGGAAGAGAAAAGATTAAGTTCGTAGAGCAAGATAACGATTGACAGATGACTTAAAAGAATGCAAATTATATGAATCAGGGAAGCAAGATGAAGGAAGCAAATTCCAAAGAACTGATGTTCGAAGAAAAAAACTAGCTTTAGAGCAGTGCTCATCATAGTATTTGTAGAAAAGAGGAAAAGAAGCAACATCACGACGATGTGACAATGGTTAGAGATTGGCTGCACAAGCAGGTCCAACTATGTTTACAATGCGTTTTTGCACCTTGTCTAAAAGAGAAAAAGGCATCAATAGAAGATCTACCCCAGATATGGCAACAGTATTCCAAACAGGTACGGATTTGAGATTTATAGAGATAGAGAATAGAATCTAGAGTAAGGAAGTGTCGAGCTCGATGAAGAGATGCAACCTTAGCAGATGCTAATTTTGCAATGGATTTGATATATGGTTTAAAAGAAAGATCAGAAGTAAAAGTTAATCCTAGAAGATGAAGGGCAGATAACTCATCTAGTACATTACCATTCATAAATATAGGAAGATCTAAATTATTGCAATAACGATTGGCCAAAAAAAATTGAGTTTTATCTGAAATAAAGTTCACCAGCCATTGTGAGCCCCATGCTGTAGCAGAGGTGAGATCCTTTTCAAGCTCAGATACCCCCTCCAAGCAACCAGAGAGTGTAGGTTTCTTATCATGACAAGAATAAATAGTAGTGTCGTCAGCGAACAATGCCACCTTAGATGTGATAATATCTGGAAGATTGTTAATGTAAATTAAAAAGAGTATAGGGTCAAGGATTGAACTTGAAGAACCCCTGAAGTTACAGGATATGAAGAAGATATATATATATATATATATATATATATATATATATATATATATATATATATATATATATATATATATATATATATATATATATATATATATATATATATATATATATATATATATATATATATATAACTAACTTAAAATTTTACTAACTACATCTTTTGAAAGGAAATTCTTAAATGTTCTTTTTTTCTTGCTGAATTGACTAGGTATCTATTTTGAGTATCGAGAAGTATTAAAAAAATTAATTTATAAAGATAAAAGGCCTAGATAGTTAAAATAACTTCCAAGATAGTTATTCCAAGAAAAAATATTATTTACATTAATCTTTGTAAAACTTTAAGATTTATCATTGACTTCATATATTTTCTTTAACTTTGTTTTGGGAAAAGCAAAATTTTGAATCATAGACTTTCAAATTTTGGAGGAGCTGAATGAATTAAAGGTGTAACTAATAAAAATTCATTAGGCATATTACATAAAATAAATTGTGTTACATTAACCATTACATAAAATGAACTATAGCCAAAACCGTTGTTCTATTTTTTTAAAACCGAAGGCAAAAATAAAAATGAACTTTAGAGTTAAATACATTTAATCAAATAAAATTTCTTCAAATTAAAACAAACTTAGATACAAAAACTACAAACACATCAATTCTAGATTCCTAAATGCATATTTAAATAAATGCAATATGAGTTTTTGAAATACAAAACAAAAATGTAACATAATATTACCAAATATAAACATGTATTTGACCAAAACATATATATCAACTGACACTTGATGTAGTTGACGCTACTAAAAATAAAATCTTAATTAACAAGTAAATAAAATTTATGGAAAAGTAAAAAATATTCTTACAAGTGTTATTTTTTTAGCATTAGCATTTTTTTTTTTTTTTTTTTAATTTTTCTGTTTAACTTAAAATTGTATCTAATTAATATTTCACACTATCTATTTCTAAATTTTAACTAATACTACAAATTCTACTAATTTTAACTAATAATAACTAATAATTCTAAACTTTAACTAATTCTAATAGTTTTAAATTTTAGCAAAACTCATTTTTATTTTATGTATTGACATATATTTTGTATTTTTACTATTAAAACTGACGCTATAAGTAAGGATTTTAAGGAGACATTTTTCTATTATTTAAAGAGATTTGGCCACGAAAGTCAATTTTTTGAAAAAAAAATTAGCAGAATTAAGGAGAAAATAACTACATTGAAAACAGAATCTTATTTTTTTCAATAAATTTTAAATAAAAACAGAAAAATTATTATAAATTAACATATTACTTATATATATATATATATATATATATATATATATATATATATATATATATATATATATATATATATATATATATATATATATATATATATATATATATATATATATATATATGATATGACCTTGTTTCTATGTTTAATGGTAAGACTTTTGAATCACTTTTTTTTGCTTTTTTTGATTGATGTCGACAAATTATTGCCAACCTTTTTTTTCTTAATTCCAAGGGTTGCATGTATATATATATATATAGGTACCTTCATAAAAAATTTAAACTTTTATTTTTTAAACCAAATTAATTCTATTATATAGAGAATATTAAATGACAAATTTTTATACCAAATTTATTATCTGGGGTCAACTATAAAAAAAGATATTCAATTTTGAAGGCAGAGAAAATAAAGTGGACATCTTAACAAAGATACACAAGAAAATGACTTCAAAAAGTGGACTTTATAACATAGTTCATAAAATATTAACAATTTACTGTCACATATATGATAAAAACTGTTTATTATATCCCACTTATATAAAATAAATTAAAAAAAAAAAAAAAAGAGAGGAGGGGGGGGGGTGTTTAAGCCTATTTTAAAAGGGGGTCAAATTCGATTCTAGTCATTTTATTAAAAAAATTACCATAACTAATCTAAATTTAAGTTTGTTCATGCTTAAATCTAATGAGAATGTGTAAAAAAATTGTATAAAAAATTGAAGTGATTGGAGCCTAGGAACAAAAATACCCCAAAAAGTTTGTACCCCACATAAAAATGTGAGGGGACCAAGTTATTAAAACACTTTTACTTATTATTTTATACTACATTTAAATTCATCAACAGACCCAATAATTCTTGATATGTTTAAAGTTATTTTTTTAAAGTTATTTCACATGGTCATAACCTTTGAGCATTAAAAAATGTGAATTTAAATTTAGTTTTGGATAATAAACTTAAAAACTTATTTACTCATTAAATTAACATTTGAGACAGGAGGGTTCTATCTTTTTTAGATAGTTTTGTTCCTAAGTTTTAATTACCACAATTTTTTAGCAAATCATTCTTATTTGACATATGATTGAACATACTTATACTTAGAGTTTTCACAATGCCAAGTACAGTATCTGAAATGTAAAATAACCCTGTGTCTGCTCTTGGTTAATATAAAAATATTTAAAAACGAAAAGGAATAAATAAAAATGTATACAAAATAATCAACATAAACAAAATAAAAGATAATAATGCCTAATATATTATAGTAATTTTTAAATGAACTCCAAGCCTTTAAGTATTAGATCTGCTATAACTCCTTCCTGGCTTATGTCAATATCTTCAGCTTCATCTTCATTGACTTTCCAATATCCTATTGTGTATGTAATAGATTTTTATTTTGTTGCTACCTTTTGATCAACAATTCTACCAAAAAATAAATGTATATTACCATCATCTAGCTTCCATTTATGGCTTAAGAGCTGCCCTATCAAGTTTCCATTTTTCAAAATTACTCCTAAAATTCGTTTTTGTTTTTCATCAATATTAACAAAAAGAGGATTTGTGGTTTTGACATTTTCAGCTATTGCTCTTTTAATATCCTTCTCTAGTTACTTTCTTTCCAGACGCTCTTTTTTTAAATTAGCTTTGGCGCATCTTTTTCCTATTTCTTCATACAAAAGATTATTAAAATTTTTAGAGGCTTGGCACATTAAAGCTCCTCTGCGAATTACAAATTGAATAAGATCTTCTTGTTCTGGCAATGTTTTCTCATCAAGCCATGTTAATGTTTTGTTTACCCTAGCTTTTATTTTAGAATCCAGAAAACCAAAAGTAGCATTAGGAGCACGACGCAAAAAAAAATCAAGCATGCCCAAGATCCTTTCAGCCTCCATTGTATGAGGTGGAGCAGATAGTGTGGTTTTTATCATTTATTTAGATGGATTTGAGAGATTGCCAGTCAAATACCTGGCCATCTGTCTTTTGAGAACTGTCTCTGTGCAGCTTATCAAAGCTGATAAAATCTTTACCAAAATATTTTTATTTTTTATTACACGAAGGGATTGGTGTACCTTATCTTTTTTGATACTTAATACTTGACTAAAAATATCCACATCTGTATAAAGAATTGATTCTGGATTACTTTTGAAGTAAGCTGATTTCCTTATTGCTTTCTGGAAAATGTCACCCTAATAAAAAAATTATTTTTTTACATTTTTTAAACTACTTTATTTGTTTATTAAAAAACCTTAAAAACTTACAAACTCAAGATTACTTTTTCCTGTTGCATTTTTATAAACCAGACTCATCCATGGCTCAGTTATTATTTTTCCTATCAGGCCCAACCCTTGCAGTTGCACAAGCGTTATATCATTACTCATATCTTGAAGTAAGAGTTGGCAAATTTTATTTTTGGTGTTGCTAGAATAACGAGAAAATGTTAATACATAGAATTCTATTAAAACAAATATTCATCTAAAAAAAACTTACTTTTCAAGAAAGGTTTTTATAAGTCTTTCGAATGTAACAACAATCCCTGCCATATGGAACAAAACATGAAATCTACTACCAACATATCTAAGGAATAGCCCTGGAGCAACATTGTTTTTTTTAAGATAGCTTTTGAATGCTGCAGGATCGCCTTTAAAACTATACCTGATTTTTAAAGAGCAAAAAAATTAAAATTTCAAATTTTCAAAACGTGGAAATAATAAAGAATTGCTCACAAGAAAATAAAACTAAAAAAAAATTTAAATAATGAAAGATATACATATAAAAGATTACCTTAGCTTAGAAATATTTTTGAGGACTGTTACTGCAACCCCATCAGTTCCTTTAGCTGGTTTTATATTCAACTCATTATCTATTGTTTTAAGAGCTAATAATGCTTTTAAGGCAATAGTTTCCAATGGATGAACATTGCAGTACAGTTGCATTAATTGAATGTCCATCTCCTCCTAAAGCATGTTTTTCACACAACTATTAACAGGTGCTCTGTCTGACAGACAACTTTTGATTTTTTGAGTGAAAACATCTAAAACTTCTACTGCTGGCATATTTTTAAACTCTGCAAATGTATTGGCAAGTTCTTTTATTACACTGACAATATGAGTGGCACAGTCAAATCCTGTGCCTCCAGCAAGTTTAGCGGTTGATAAGGAATAACATCTCTGCGGAGGATAAGTACTGATAAGGAACTCATTTACATGTTTGTCTAAAACGGTGGTTGCATCAAACACTACTGTTGCACATTCACAATGAAAAAGTGCCTCACCAGCCTGAACCAATGCTAAAACACCTGGCTCATATGCCATTCGATTTACTGTGGATGAGTGAGGTGTTTCTTGCAGTTCTGTGTTGTGTAACAGTTCAGAAATTTTTTCTAACAAAAATAAGACACTTTCCACAGGCACATTGTTAATAATAGCAGCATAAACACATTTTCTTATGGGTAGATCATATGTTTTTAATTTTTTGGTTTCTATAAGTAACCTATTATCTTTTTTTTTTTCTAAAACAATACTAGTTAAATAATGATTTTGTTCTACAAGTTGTTTCTTTTCTTACTCTTTGATTTTTATCTGTTCCTGTAACTTTTTGATCGCAATTTTGTGTTTCTTTTCTATCTTTTTAACATTTTGTTGCAACTTTGTTCTACTAATTTTAAGAATTTTCAATTCATTAATGAAATCTAGAGAATGAAACTTATTCTGTTGAAATGTTTTTTTTTTTTTTCTTCTGAATATTTCAATTTCCACAAATTTAGTGAAAAATACTGTCTTTTAAATTTTTTGTTTGTAAGCTTGTTACAGGTCATTGATTTTTTCAAAAAACGAACTCTCTGCTGCAATTTTCTGTTTTTTTCTTGTAAACTACGTATTTCATCTTTTTTTATTTTGCATGAACCACACTTTACTCTCTGCATTGTGTCTGAAGCAATGTTTAAATCACTTGCAACGTTTAAGTGAATATTTGTATTAGAACTATTTTTTTTTTACTTCATATTTAAATGGTTGCTGCAAAAAATTAACAATAGCAGCCCATGACTGGGTAGGGTTTTTTTTTAAGATTTTTATCTTTTTATGCAAGTATCTTATATTGTTGGAGAATATTTTAAAATCAGATGCATTTTGAGATCCAATGTTCAGTTTTTTTAATTTCAGACAAGTTTTTGATAATTTGAAATTATTTTCAGAAAAAATTTTGTAAATGTCACCATTTAACAAAGGCTTCGATTGGCATTTATATGAATTAATTAAAACGCAAATATCTTTTGCAGTCTTGTGGTCCATCTAAAGGAAAGAAAAATACAAAGCAACAATGAAAATAATTTTAAAAAATGGCGCTATAAACAATACATTATTTTGCGGTAGCAACTGTATGCATCTTTTTTAAACATGAAGGAGATTTTAAAGTATCGGTTATTATATATCAAATGAAAGATCTATGAAGAATTTATTTGAGCATGTCAAAATCATTTATGAGCATTTGTATTGGTATATTAAATTCTTTATATGAAAATTACCTATTTTGGCAGGATTCCTTAACAGTGAAAAAATCGCAATTTTTTAAAAACTGTATAACTATAAACAAGTTTAACCTTCACTTTAAACGAAAAAATATAATAAAAATTTACAGTTTATTTTTTAGCTAGCTTTTAAACACTCTTTCCTCTATGCATATAGCGTAGTTTGAAAAAACACGGAAATCCAGAAACTTTATAAAAGCGATGTCAAAATAAAAAAACGGACGCATACGAGGGTACCTATATATATATATATATATATATATATATATATATATATATATATATATATATATATATATATATATATATATATATATATATATATATATATATATATATATACAATAGAAATATAGGTTTGCAATCAATCAAAGGACTATATAATTTCTTTATTAATAAATATAATCCATTTACTTTAATAAAATTTCATAGATGATAAAAAAAAGGAGAAATTAAGGAGTGTTTCTCATCGGTAACTTAGTAAATTGCCAATAACATTCCAACACGTGATATAGTGGTTATTCATATGTTAGGCACTTTTGGCTGCTGCCACTAATAGGCCATTAAGTAAAGGATGACCAAAACTGCAATGACCTAAAATGCCTATATAGCTCCACTGAAATTCTGATTTAAATGTTTTTGCTGTGTTATATATCTTTTTACTAAATACTAAAACTAAAACCATAAATTTTCAAAATATCATTATAAAAAATCATTTCAAAAAAATATTAAATCAATTCCATCTTCAAATACATTTTTCTTATTCTTATTTAACTTGGATAAGTTACTAAAATATAAATTTTATCAAATAATAAATATAAATATTGATTTTAATTAAAATTATTCATATTGAACTTTTAAAGAATGATAAAAGAGAAAAATTATTTACTATCTTCTAAAGGATACTTTTAGATAATCAGATAATAAAAGAATAGGACAAGTCACTAAAAAATGTCTAATTAAAAAAATTAAACAAGTAATACAGTTATATAAGAGACAGGTGGGTAGAAAATTTCCTTTAGAGTAAAGGAAATTTTCTACCCTCCTGTCTCTTATATAACTGTTACGACTGGGTTAATTTTTTTAATTAGACTTATTTTTTAGTCAAAACTTTTGAACTTCACTAATAACTAATTACTAAAGTTAAGTAATTGGTTATTAGCGAAGTTCCAAAACTTGATATTGTAATATTTCAAAAAGTTCATTAACTAATGTACTGGTCCAATTATTTCGAATAGAACAATCTAAAAGTTGTTAATTAAAGATATTGAATTATATTGAATTACCAGCATAAACTCTCTGTATTATTAATAGGTTTTACTTTTGAAAAATATGACTATGCATGAGATTCTACGAGATCTTTCAAAGAGATTTTTTTCTATGTCTTTCAAAGAGATTCTACGAAGTCTTTCAAACAGTCAAAACTTGGTTCTTGATATAGTATATCAATTATTATACTTGAAATACTATATCAAGTGTCAAGTATATACTTAATATATATATAGTATATCATATACCCAGTTTTTAACTATTTATTTTAATATCTGTATCAATTTCAATATATGTATCAATATTAATACGATTCTCAAGTAATTAAATGTTTAAAATATATATATAAATTAGCAAGAACCTGTCTATAAGTCGCATTTTTATAAGGGGTTTTTAAAATTCTCCTTGAATCTTTGGGAAGTTCCAAACCTTGATTTGGCAATATTTCAAGATCATTAACTAATGGGCGGACTTGTAAACGGCGCACCCCCCTAAGTTTAAAACACGTTTTATTGAAAATGATACTTTACTGACCTATTAAAATTAATTAATTAAATTAATTAAAGAGTAATTACATCAATTTATTATAATTGATAAATAGAAGTAAATGTAAATGCTTTGACTAACCATTAGGGATTAACGCAACGAAATATACATTCATTAATTGACCGTAAGAATTGGGACAGTTTTAGTCATGATTATTAGTTTTTCATAGGGGTGCATCGTTTACAAGTCCGCCAACCTGTTAATGATACATGGAACAATTATCCTGATAATTCTTTGAATTCAATGTCTTTACTCAACAACATTGAGCTATTCAATAATGGGACCAGTACATTAGTTAGGTGGAATTTTCGCAGACAATTTTGGTCCAATATTAATTAAGTAGTTGTTTAGTTCTTCAGCTATAATTGATTTATCGTAAACTAATTTCCAATTAATTAAAAGATTTTTTGGCAGAGTGTTTTTTTTATAATTATTTTTTCCAATTAAATACTTAATTACATTCCATACTTTTTTAGTGTTTCCGTTGGTCTTTTTTAATAAGTGAGCATAATAAAGCTTTTTTGAGTATCTTTTTGTTTTTTCGAATTTATTTTTGTAATTTTTATAAGTTATTTCATTTTTATAAGATTTTTTTTTAAGATACTTTATATATAATTTTTCTTTCTTTTTTGAAGATTTTAGTAAGCCTTTCGACATCCAGGGGCTTTGAAGTGATTTGGTTTTTATAATTATTTTTTCTAGAAACGCTACTTCAGATTGTTTGCAAAATTGAACAAGAAACAAATTATAAGCATTATTAGCATCGCTAGATTGCAAAATCAAATTCCAATTAACATTATTTTCTAAACAGTTTTTAAAATGCTTTAAGGAATTTTCATTGATCTGTCGCCGAAATATTGTGGATTTTGAGGCAATATTGTTAATTAAAATGTTATTGGTAGCTAGTAATGTAGAAAAATGATTCGATAAATAATTTTGAATTATGCCTGTGTAAAAAGGAATATTAAAAAAATTGTTAGTTATGATAGTATCAAGTAGAGTAGAAGACTTTTTTGTAACTCTTGTTGATTTGTTTATTGTTGGAATGAAGTTATTTTTTAGAAGATTATTTATAAAGTTCTTAGCATTATTATTAGAAGCAAAGTTGATTAGGTTGATGTTAAAGTCCCCGATCAAATAACTATGTTTCCTCAAATTTTAATTTTTTTTAAAAATGTTTTAAGATAAGTTTTTAACTTTTTTATATTACCATATGGTGGTCTATAAATACTATTTATAATTATGTTTTTTCCGTTTTATTTACTTATTCAATGCATAATGGTTCACAATCTCTTTCATCAACACAGAGGTCGTTACGTAAAATATAATTAAGTAAATTGTGGATAAAAATACTTATGCCCCCACCTGCATTTAATTCACGTGGTTGGTGAATTGATGTGTATTTAACTAGTTCAAATTCATAATTTGTTTCACCACTTTTACACCAAGTTTCCGTCACACATATAATTTTAAAATTATGTGTAATTTCATTTAATAATTTTCAAAATTTTTGTTCAAACTTCGAATATTGATATTTAAATTTGAAAAAAGGTTTTTATTTTGTTTAAACAAAATAAAAACATTTTTCGAATATATTTTTGTAATTTCGAACTGGCATAAGTGCGAATGGCGTTAGCGCGAACTTGCTTAAGCGCGAATTGGATTTGGCATAAGTGCGAACTGGCATAAGTGCGAAGCAGTTACAAAAACTGGCATAAGTGCGAGCTGGCATAACTGCGAATTCGCATAAGTGCGCCAAATAAATTTGAAAACATTGGCATAAGTGCGAACTGGCATAAGTGCGAATTGGCATAAGTGCGAAATACTAATTTGCACTTATGCTAATATTTGAAATTTCATTCGGCGCACTTATGCCAATTTGCACTTATGCCAGTTTGCACTTATGCCAATTTTGCACTTATGCCAATTCGCGCTTGTGCAGCCTCCCGCAGCAAACGACATGGTAAAAAAAAAAAAATTGTTCAGTAAACTAGTTACATGCGTATTCGTAGGGTCAACAACGTTTAAAACCATGGAGTTTTAATATACAGGAGGTTGATAATATCAGTCAAATTGATAGAGCACTCGCTCCTGTTAAAATATTTTAACAGGAGCGAGTCCCCTTGGTTTAATCAGAGTATTTTCTGTTCATTATTCTTAAACATTTTTTTTTCTGTCTACTAAATTAAGAAATTGGATTTCAAAAATTTTTCAGCTATTGCAGGCTATTTTAATTTTAAGCTTGTTCCCTGTATCCAGATTAAACATTTAGCAAATTATGTGTACCAGGTGCGTACCCAGTATTTTTTTATGTTTCAGATAGGACACTTCCTCACATTGTGCAAACTCCAAACTTAAGTATGCTCATATCTAAGCCAAATGAGGAAGTCTTGCAAAAATTGGGACGACATTTTGTAAATTACAATATTTTTCACAGAAAAATATTGTAAATTACAAAAGTTATGACCATGCAAAACCTCCCTCGTTTTGAGAGGGTTGGAAATTAGTTATAACCATGCAAACCCCCCTTGTTTTGAGAGGGTTGGAAATTTTGTATGGTCATAACTTTTGTAATTTACAATATTTTTCTGTGAAATTTAAAATTTGTCGATAAATTTAAGTTTAGTTTAAGATACTAAAGTTGAAAATTTTACTTCATCAGTGCCCTCACGTTTGGGCAGGGGGTGAAAGCGTTTTAGGGCTTTTTTTGTTCCTTCGCCGTCCTAAATTTTTGCAAGACTTCCTCATTTGGCATAAGTATGAGCATACTTAAGTTTGGAGTTTGCACAATGTGTGGAAGTGTCCTATCTGAAACATAAAAAAATACTGGGTACGCGCGAAATAACAAGGGTATATAATATATTAACTGGTATATAATATATTGGCTACTTCTGGTTGGCGCCCTTATTTATAAAAATTTCCCTGTATTATAGATGAAGAGCCTTTTTTTATTTTTTTTTTATTTGACGCTCCTTTGATATCTGCCACCCGGGACAAACTGTCCATTTCTCCCCCTCCTCTCTCGACGTCTAGGGGTTATATATACTATATATATTATCCCTAGAAAGAGGGGGTGGAAGCGAAATGGACAGTTTGTCCCCGGCGGCAGATATCAAAGGGGCGTTAAATGAAAAAAAGGTACCTAAAAATAAAAGTAAAAAAAGTCCTTTATCTATAAAATAGGTAAATTTTTTATAAGTAAGGGCGCCAATCAGGGTTGCTGTACCAGGCAACATGACGGCTCTCAGCGGCCCTGCCCCTGGAAATATTGTATTTTAATATAAAGAATTTTATAAAGATAAGTTTGCATACTATAACAGATGTTTTAACTTAATTAAAATACTGAATATAAAAACTTAAACTCAGGGCAGTCTCGAAGAGGTCTCTTATGGGAAGGGGGGTGTCGTATGTGTTTTTTGCCAACTAGAGACCTAAAAAAAAGGTCCTTGATACTTGACATTTGCCAACTATACCTCAAAACTTGCTAAATACTGCATGCAAATGTGCCAACTCAAATACGTATATATTTCAGCTTTGGGGTAGGTGGGGGACACCCCCTCACCCCCTGTTCGGGACGGCTCTGCTTAAACTAATTAAATTTTAAATTAAAAATTGTTTCTAAAAATAATTTACCGTCAGCTGGTTCGTCACATCTTGGGTTAACGTGAAAACGTTGGTTTTTCCGGCGTTATAACAAACGAAATTTAATTAATGAATGTCGACCATATTATTTTTTGCATGACACTTCAAAATTTTAACAAAAGTGTACAATAGAAAATTTTTGTCTTTACAAAACTATGCTGAAATATTATAATATACAGTTATAAATCATGATAAGTGAAAATTAAAAGTTCCCAAAACAGTTATGTTTTAACATTCTTGGTAACTTCCGTGTTTTTATATTTTGGAGATTATATTGAATACATTCTTGAATATATTACTCAGCTAGGCTGTAGTCTACAACATGTACTTCAGTGTAGTACTATACAAATAGTACTGTAGTAGTATTAATACTACAGCAAAAATTGAATAAGATTCACTGAATAATAAATATTATATTCAATATTCAATGAATCTTTTTTGATATTTGCTGTAGTACTAAATAAATCTTATTTAATATTTGCTGTAATATTAAGAGTACTAAAGCCTAGCTGAGTAATGACTAAATAATTTACTTAGGTGTCACATGTATTAGGTATGCACATATATCTTAGGTATATGCATATATCACATATCAATGATATGTGATATATGTGTAAGTGTTTTAATTAATGCCAACCAAGTTCAAGTTTAGTGCAATATTTGATTTGTGCCTAACTACAGTTGCTCTATCATTTATTATTTAATAATTAGCAAAAAAAAAAAATAATAATAAAAAAAAAATAAAAGTTAAACTCGTAATTGTTTTTTCTAAATAGGTTCTATCTGTTTCTTTTTAGATTTTTTTTTTAATATACTTGACTGATAGATTGTTCAAAATTATTTCTTCAATTTTCATAGTTTCTTTCATTAGATCAGTCTCTAATACCATTAGCAATACATTTTTCATGGTGTCCATTTATATTACACTTTATATTTTTATATACATATTAGGCACAAAAATAAATGATCAGCTTATTGAATATATTTTAAATAAAAAGTGCTATAAAAATGATGCTCAAAGTAGAAGTTTTTAAAACACAATAAATAAAATAGTATAAATAAAAATAAGATACAAAAAGAAAACTTTTCATTTGTTTTGTTTTTTTCACTTTCACTCCTTTAGAATTATAAATAAAAAATCTAAACCACCATTCTTTTCGTTGTTTTTTTATCAGCAGCTGAATTTATAAATATTATATTTTTGTGAATAATTGTTTTGAATAATCAAAATTTTTTAAAAGATAAGAATTTTGTAAAAGATAATAAATCTATATTTATACTTAAAATATGTTATACAATCTATTATGTTAAAATAATTGTATTAATTTAATTCTTTCTTTTGCACAATTTTTTCAGCATATATAATATATATTCAATTAAAGACTACAGCTAGAAATGGTTTGATTTTTAAAATATAGATTAGAGCTTATTAGTTATGTATTACCTTTAAAATATTGTTCAATATTTTTTTTTCTTTTTTTAATAAGACATTTAAATATAAATAATGTTTCTTTTAGTCTCGAAGATATGATACTCGTACTACCATTTTTTCTCCAGAGGGTAGGTTTTATATTAAAAGATAAGATTTTAACATATTAAGATTAAAAGAAATTTTAAGATATATTTAAAAGTTTATAAACTTATTAAAATGTTGAAAAATAATTTTTTTTGGAAGGTCGTCTTTTTCAAGTTGAATATGCTATGGAAGCAATTAGTCATGCAGGCACCTGTCTTGGTATTCTTGCTACAGATGGGGTTGTACTAGCAGCAGAGCGACGAAACACAAACAAATTACTTGATGATGTACTCTCAGACAAGATATACAAATTAGACGAGTAATTTAAATTTTATTAGGTACTTACTAATTTTTTGCACTTTTTTTAAAAAAATGTAACAATATTTTATATACATTTAGAAACACTGTGTGTAGTGTTGCAGGCATTACCTCTGATGCCAATGTTTTGACAGCACAACTAAGACTTACAGCTCAAAGGTATTACTCATATCAAGTAATTATAGTTTATATAAAGAATAATAATCTTCTTTTAAATAAAAAATATAAAAAACCCAGTTGCAAATATTAAATTTACACTTAGTAGCAAATATTGCATATAATTACTGCATAAACCTTAAAAGCTGTATTACTAAATAAAATCTTCTTTAAAATTTTCATTATTAGTAATATACATGAAAGTTTTTTATTTTATTTTATTTCTAATATTGATATATAAAGTTATTTTAAATAATATTCAAGTCAATGCAAAAAATATATTCTGACAAATAGTACAAGTACTAGTATAAAATACCTAAATTACACTACAACACAAAATCATCAATTAAAAATTAACAATAATAACTAGAATAATATTAATTATAATAATATAAGTCAAATGATTCCAGCATCTACAAAGGAATAATTTACCAACTTTTATACAAATATGGGTTAAAATAGTGAACCTATTGCTAGAATCAAGCAGCATGGATTGTCTAAAAAGTGCTACATTACTTCCAATAATAAAGAAGTTAGACTAAAATAGCGATTTTTAAAGTAATATAGCAATTTTCTAATTATTATTTTCTAAGGATTCTAATAATTATTTTCTAAGGATTCTAATTATTATTTTCTAAGAATTTTTTAAATTAATTATTATCTAATTAATTATCTAATTAAATATTATCTAGTTTATTAATTATTATTTTCTAAGTATTTTTCTAATTATTATTTTCTAAGGATTCTAATTGTTATTTTCTAAGCGAACTTCTAATTATTATTTAAGTTCTGTTTGATGTCCTTTATGTATGAACTCCTACACCATCATGTAATAAATTGTGTCATTAAAAAAAATGTTTTAAAAATAAAAAAATAAAAAAGGTTTTGAAAATAGTAAATACAAGCTTGTAAATTTCATATTTCACATTACTGCGAGTTTAGTTTTATAAATAATATTAACTTTCTTTATACATAAATCACCCCTCCTCTCATTTTGAGGAGGTTGGAAATTTTGTATGGTCATAATTTTTGTAATTTACAATATTTTTCTATGAAATTTAAATCTGTCGATAAATTTAAGTTTAGATTAAGATACTAAAGTTGAAAATTTTACTACATCAGTGCCCTTATGTTTGGGCAGGGGGGTGAAACAATTTAGGGCTTTTTTTGTTCCCAGGCCTCTGTCATCCCAAATTTTTGCAAGACTTCCTCATTTGGCAAAGGTATGAGCATACTTAAGTTTGGAGTTTGCACAATGTGTGGAAGTGTCCTATCTGAAACATCAAAAAATGCTGGGTACGCACCTGAATCGTATAGCAAAATAAAGTCACAATTACAGTCTCAGCAAAAGTCTCAGCAAAAACAACAACAAGTGTTGTTTAATTACAAAAGAATTATAAAAGATTGCAAGCGATTGCCAGCTATTATGGGATATTATTTATAAATAAATAATAAAAGTAAATTTACAGAGAAGCATTTTATTATTATTTACAGATTAAAAATTTAATTACATTTTAAATGAGGGTATTTGTTTTCATTTGTCTATTGTCTGGTTTAAAAATCTTTTCATAATCATTTAGTACTTTTTGTTCTGAACTCATTTTGTTCCAACACAAATGTAATGTTTTTGAAAATTAAATTATTTTTTTACAATTCTATAATTTTTTCAAAACTTGGTCTTTATCATTTGCTTCTAACTTTCCTACCATTTTCTGTTAATTTGTTTCTAGATGTCCCTAACCACTGCACCTTGTGTGCTAAATTACTACTACTTTAAAATATTCACTTATGGTGTTAATATTTTAAAGAAGTTCAAAAGATTTATTATGAAATATGAAGTGAAAAAGCTTATAAGAGTTTTTGTTGTTGTTGTTTCATGAGATAATTCTAAATATAAAATTTGCAGAAGAACATAAAAGTTTTTAATAGCAATCAAAGTTTATAAAAATATTAAAAACTTTTATTTTTACAATATATAATAAAAATGAAACTAAATCTTTGTAATTAGTTACATTTTTTATGTAACTAATTATTTCAATCATTTTCAAAATGAAGACAAAATTGTAAAAGATATGATATAATATATAAAAGAATATAAAAAGATATAAAAGAATATAAAAGGATATAAAAGAAATGCAAAAAACATTTATAAAGACTTTATTACTTTATAAGTGTATAAGCTTTAAGTTTATTTATATTATGAACTTATGCATGTATACTTTTTAAGTTTTAATGTTTTCTGCCTGCAAGTATTCACGCATGTTGTTTACAAAAAGATGTGATATTGCTCAGAAAGTCATCTATAAATGACCCACTGCCTTCCCATCTCATATACGCCATTTACAGACCCTCTCTTTTCCTCCGAGCATATGTACTTTATGGACTTTCTCTAACAAAAAAAAAAATTTTCCTCACAGAGCATTAAGTTTAATCAAAAATCAAAATACCCCATTAAGTTTAATGAAAATTGCCTTCTAAAAGAGCTCAAAATCTCCTACTTCTATTTTAAAAATAAATTTAGCCTTGTGTAATTTATGGACAATCTTTTAGGAACTAAAGTTCATTTGATGCGTGAGAAAAGATGTATCTTGAAATTATTGTCATTTTTTATATTATAAAAGCTCATAACTAGGTGACATGCTCATTTGAAAATCTTAAAATTATTTCTTATTTTATACCCCTAATGTTCACTAATATATGCACAGCTAGATTAATGCAAATAAAAAACTGCAGTCTGTTCAATAATAAATCAATAGAAAAACAAGTAAATCACCTTGAATTTAACAATTTACATAGAGAAAGAATCTTTTTCAAGGTCCTTTTAATAATGCACAAATCTATTATGCTGAAAGCACCAACATCGTTATGCAATTTAATTCACTACTCAATGTTAGAAAGAACCCTAAAATTAAATGAAACAAAAAAATGCAGTAATCATTTTGGTTATAAATCATTATCCCACTATGGTTCTGAACTTAAGAATATATTTCTAAATATCATCCGTGAAAAAACTACAACTATTTATAAGAAAAAACGTAAGTCCTATTTTGTGGTAAGTGGTGAACTATTCCACCAGAAAACTCTTGAATATTAAAGTTTTTACTAAAATAATAATTTGTTGCAACGCTGATCAAGTGTTTTGCCAACTTATCCATTATTCTGGCAAAACACAGTAGCTGTGGGTAAACCTATGTATTATTTTTAATATCAATAATATTATCAGTAATAATTGTAATGATAATAAATATCATGGTATATGCTAGTTATAAAATGTTCTAATCATAATTAATTCCCATTATAACGTTGTATAAGAGTAGAAATTGTGACATTATTAAAAACAAATTTTGTGATCTGTTGTGTAAATATTAAGTGAGCTACTTTAGGGCTCTGATTATTGGTAGATTTTTTTTATAAATCTATTAATGGGTAAGATCAAGGTTCAAAACAGGTGCCAGACATCAGTGCCCAACAGACCTTATTAATAGGTCAGGTGCAACCCTCGGAATTAGGGTCAGCGTTCGGCAATGCTGACCTAACTGCCGACCTAAACATGTTTGCAGTCGGCAAAAAAAAATTGGTTTTGCCGACCTTGTTTTGTTGTTTTATGGTAAGACCTTTGTATTTGCCGACCTGATGCCAACCTCTAAAAGATTAAGGTCCTCAAATTATTGCCGACCTCAATTTTTTTAATTCTGAGGGTTGGGTCAGGTGTAATGTGGTAGTAGACTAGTGGTAAAACACCCAAAATATCCCAAAAACAAATGATGGATTTGAGCCTAGTTCTAGGCTCAAATCCATCATATGTTTTTTTTGGACTTAATGAAATCTGTTTAGTTTCTATTACGTCTATTATATTCTAAAAGTAAAGAAAAAACAAGAAAATGAAATTAGATTGTTTTGAAAATTTAATTTAAACAAACTAATAACAGGGTGGCCAGTAGTCCTTGAAATCCTATCAAAATCCTGGAATTTGATAGGTTCTGGAAAAGTACCCCTTTTAGCTATAATTTCTGAAAATACTGGAACTTTTTTCTGAAATAGTTTGATATTTTATTATCGTGTTTTTTAACTTTTACAGAGTTATTAATTTTGAATAGATTTATACTGAATTTGATAATTAAGTATTTTCTGTAATGAAAAAATTATTAATAAGATTTAGTTATTTTTCATTTTCATTATTATTTTCATAAATCAACTTTTTTTTTTCTGGTAGAGAAAAGATAAACATATCCTTGAAAAACTTAAAATTTTCTTTTAAAAGTTCTAGATATATTCTGGAATTTTGATTTAGCTAACCTGGCTACCCTATATAATCTTAAATGACAAATTAAAAATATTGACTATTAAATTTGATATAACATCTGATATTATAAAATTAAAAAAAAAAAAATTTGACATTATAAACTTTACATATCTGATTGTAAACTTTTTTCAAACATTTTTTAATGATAAATATGTTTTCTTGACATCATAATTAAAGCAATAATTATACTAAACGTGTTAGGTAACAAATGCAGTAAAGAAAAAAGGTTGTTAAAAAAATGCCAGGGTTCTTTTGCCAAATACTTCCAAATAGTATAAAGTTATAAATATTAAATTATGAAGCGTTATAAAGTACGCATTTGATGTACAAAATTTGATGTACAAAATGGCTATTTTACCTATACGTTCAACAATTTACGCTTTAACAAAATCTTTAATCATTTGAAATATTTAAACTGTTTTTTGATATTATTTATGCAGCATTTAAACTAAATTAATTATTGTAAAATATATTTATTTGGGTGCATTAGTTGTTTTGTTTTTTTTAATTCACTTCCCAAAGGCCAAGAAGGCTACTACAAACAAAGAGGCTACTTAATTGTGGATAACCCTCTCTCAACTTTATAACTCTGAAACACAAGACTTGAAGAACAAGAAAGCTAAATTTCAAAAACAAAGAAACAAAATAGGAAATTGATATAGATTTAAATAAAAAACAATAAAAAAAAGTTAATGATTTAATTAATTTGTTTTTATTTTGCACTCACATATATACATAGTTTTTAAGTTTCAATCATGCCATGTCGTCTACACATTTTTCACATAGCCTTAATTGTTTCATGTTACCTTTCTATTCCTGTATATTTTAACCTCAATCTTTTAGCGCTTTGTAATTTTGGATATTTGTTGCTTTTTAACATTTGGCTCAGTGCACTTAGTTCTACCCGCCCCTCCCTTTTGGTCTACCATGTTATTGGTAAAATATATCTGTCCGAAACCCTCTAATAGTTTTTAGCTAACTCTTATTCTAATATAATCTTTTCACCTTCTTTCCTGATGCTCCTATGGCTGTATGTGTTCCACTAAAGTAAATGGTTTTCGAGTCTGATTGCGAATGATGAATATTAATGTAACAAGTATGTGTATTGCAAAAAAAAAAAAGTTTAAATAATAAGTTTAATAACAACCACCCTAAAAAACAAAAATAAAAACAGAACGTAATACTTAAAAAAATCAATAATTATTTGAATTATTAGTTTTTTTTTTAATTTTTTTAAATTTTATTTAAGTTTATTTTAATTTCCTATTTTGTTAGTTTTGTCTTCTTAGTTTTTGAAACTAATTTTTTTTCTCACAAAATATTGAAATGCATATGACAATAAAACTTGCTAACAGGCATGACCAAGTTGTCTAAAATAAAAAACTTATGTGTGGAAAAATCGTACAAGTCTTTTGGTAAGGCTTGCCTTATGAAGACATCAAACACATGCATGCTGACATTTCAAATTTTTATCTTTCTTACTTGAATATTAAAGGAATATTATAAAATAATTAAAAAAAAATAAATTAAAAAAGCAGTTTAAAGAAGGTAACTTTTACTCTGAGTACATTTTTTATGGAGCTTTTTAATTTTACTTGAGTAAACTTTTTGACTAGTAAACGTTACTTGTACTTGAGTAAAAGTTCACTCAAGTAACTACTTTTATTTAGATACAAAATTTTGTTACTTTTTTCACCTCTGATAATATTGCAATAAAAATGCCATTTATTAAATGTACTAAACTTAATCTTATAATTTTTTTATATGCAGCCATTTTATAGTCGGGTTTTTAAAGCTGGTATTCACTTTTGCAATATCAAAAAAGCACTTAGTAACAACTAAATAGTGTGTTTATAAATAAATTTTAGAAATGCTTTCTGATTAGTTTGAAATAATGTCAACAATTGCAATTATGTCATCAATGATGTCAACAAGTTCTTCTCTTTACTATATTGGTTTGCATAAGTTTTAAGTTATTGCATTTTTTTCTCAAATTATTTTATTAAAAAAAACTTATTTGTTACAATTAAATAAATGCTCCTTTTTTTCTAACAAGCGGTTAAATATGAGCTCAAGACAAGCGTAAATGAATATTTCTATGTGTGAATGTGCAAGCTTTTGTTTAAAGAAGAATTATAGACTATACTTGCTATATTAAAATTACTTAATTTTTCCTATCAACCATAAGTGTTACCCGAAATTGCCAAAAATAATAGAAGTATTGTTTTTAAGATGCATTTTTTAAAATAAGATGTAAGCCTAAAAATTTTGAAAACATAGATGCTAAGTATTTGAAGTTAAAAAATTATTATAAATGGTACAAAGAAAATAAATAGTTTAAAATCTAAGTTTTAAGGTAACAACAATTTTTATAAATTAATATCATGGTATAAAAAAAATGTTTTAGTCTTTTGTTAACTTTTTTCTCCTTATTTTGATTCATTTTTTTATGTTAAACTTTTTTATGAAATAACTTAATTGAATGTTGTGTGGAATAAGTACCAGACATTAACTATCCTCTGTTTTTGTGTTGTAATTGCATTTAAACACCAATGTTTGCTAAATATAAGCTTTGGATATATGATTTTTTGGTTATATTTTCTAATTTTTATTTGTATTTTTTTCTTTTATATTTCAAAATGTTGTTAACTGATACATATTACTAGATATTTATTACTCTATCAAGAAGCCATGCCAGTTGAACAGTTAGTTAGCAGTTTATGTGATCTCAAACAAAGATACACACAAGTTGGGGGTATATTTTTTGTATATTAAGTGTTTTAAACTTATATTATTATCTTTTTTGTGGTAATTGTTTTACTTTCTGAATCATATATGTTTAATCATGTATATTTATATTCAAACATGTACAGTTATTACTTGTAAAAGTTAATTTCAAGTTTGATCTTAATTTTTATAAGTATTAATTATACTTTTGTATGGTTATTAGTCATACATTGATGCCATTACACCTGTGTAAGATGTTGAGATCATTTTTACTTTAGAAAAAAAAGCTTTTGCAAAATGTTATTTTTCTCTTAAAAATGAATCAAAAATTAAAGTTAATTAAAGTTGCTTTTAAATTAATACCTTTTTGTAATTCAATGGTAAAACCTTCCTTATTAATTTTTTAAAATATTTTTATTTTTAAACTCTTTTTTTTATCTTAAAAGGATCTCCAAGTGCCTACAGAATTTGTGCTTATATCTTAAATAAACATTAAAAAATAAGTTCAGAGTTGATTAGATTTTTTAAAACAAGTTATTTATTGAGATGTTAACAAAAAACTTTTTCATCATTTTTTAAACCATTTTGTTGCATTCAAGTTTCATGATAGTTGCATTTAAGTTTCATGGTAGTTGCATTTAAGTTTCATGATAGTTGCATTTAAGTTTCATGATAGCTACGGGTCTTTATAAGCAACTCACTTTTAAAGTAACATTTGACTAATAACAAATGTTTTTTGTTAACATTTCAATGTTAGTTTGCTTTGGAAAGATGAATTAACTCTAAACTTATTTAATATTTTTTATGAAATTAAATATCTGGATTTTTATATCTGGATTTTTTTTTTCTGGGCACATTTGTTGTTTAATTAACTTGAGAAATTCAAATGGCCTTTGTATTAAAAAACATTATATTAAAAAACTTTTATTAGGAATTTATTAAAAATCAACTCTTTGTTTGCAACCAAGTTCAAAATAGAAATATAAAGAAATGTAGAACTTTAAAAAATAATAGTTTTTTAATTTTTACTTTTATATTTTTAATGAAAACCTAAACATAAAATATAAAATTTAGTCAAGTTTAAAAATGCAAATGTTGTTGGACCTGCACTACTGCCTCGAGCCTCTCTTTTTAAGGTTGCACCTCATCTTTTTAAGGTCGCATCCCATCTTTTTAAGGTTGCATCCCATCTTTTTAAGGTTGCATCTCATTATTTTAAGGTTGCATCTTGTCTTTTCAAGGTCGCATCTCATCTTTTTAAGGTTGCATCCCATCTTTTTAAGGTTACATCCCATCTTCTTAAGGTCGTATCTCATCTTTTTAAGGTCATGTCTCATTTTTTTAAGGTCACATCTTGTCTATTTAAGGTCTTTTTAAGGTTGCATCTTATCTTTTTAAGGTCGCATCTCATCTTTTTAAGGTCGCATCTTGTTTTTTTAAGGTCCCATCTTGTTTTTTTAAGGTCATATCTCATCTTTTTAAGGTCACATCTTGTCTTATTAAGGTAGTATCTTGTCATTTTAAGGACACATCTCATCTTTTTAAGGTCGCATTTCATCTTTTAAAGGTTGCATCTCATCTTTAGATGCAACCTAAAAAAAATGAGATGGGACCTTTCCCATCTCATTTTTTTTAGGTTGCATCTCTAGATTTTTCACTTGGACATCATTGTTTCGGAATTCTCTCCTTTGTGATGGAATTCTCTATTGTCTTCATGTTTTCTTGGCTCTTACAATTTACAATTTTCAATGAGTTCTTCTTAGTTTTCTTTCCTCCCAATTTAATTAGTGGTTGCTTGCATCCATATTGGAAGTGAATTTGTTTTTGTTTTCTTTACTTTTGGATTCAGAAAGCATACTTTTCAAGTAAAAGACATGAAATTTATGCTTTTTTTTTCAAAGCATACTTTTTATGTCTTAGAATTATTTTCATACTTAGAATTTTATAAATTGAGAGATTAGAAAAAGATCTACCTCAAGAACAACCTCAAGTAAATCAATCTTAGTTTTAAGACAAGTCATAATTGACATCTGACTGCTCTGTTTCTTAACTGATTCTTGTTTCTGACTTTTAATTTAACTAATTTTTGTTTTTAATTCCTGAAATTTTTTTGAATTTTTCTTAACTTTTTTAAGTTGATGTTGAGTTTGTAGCGTTATCATCTGGTAGTGAGTTCCACATGGTGGTAAAGGTAGCATCTGCATTTTAAACAGGAGAGATTATGAAAAGAACATAGCCACTGGTTGAAATGTTGATGGAGATTATTTGCACTTGATAATTGGCTTATTTTAATGAATCAAAATATGTTTCCAAACTTCAGTATGTATTGTGGATAAAAGCATGAGATGGTAGTAGGCAGACATTGACTTTAAGTCCTTCAAGCTGCTTAACTTAGGCTTTGTCTGAGAACACGACACATTGTCACATTTTAACATTCCAATTCTTGTTTTTTTTTTCAAAATTTAAAACATTTGCATACATTTTTTACTAATGGTTGAAACTTTTCTTATGTAAAATGTTTAAAAAGATGTTGTTCACAATGTTCGATAAATGTGTTGGTGTGTTCTTGTTTACTCACCAACACATTACCTTAACTTTAGGTTGGGGAAATTTTTGTGTACTGTAATTTTTTTCAACCCTCTGAACAAATGTTTTTTGTAAAAAAAAATGTTTTTTCACAGTATTTTTGAGGTTTCTATAAATCTTCGCTGCGTATTCTTTGAACTTCTTACTATTTCTCTGCTACTGATAATGGATCCTTTATCACAACTTCATCTTTCATTTTTAATAAATAAAGTGTAAAAAAATCAATAGAAATTTTTTATAAAAGAAATTAGTTATCATTAACAGATTTTTCAACAAAAACATAGTAGTTGACTTCAATATACAGCTTTTAAATGCAATTTTCCATTATTTAAATTAGTTTTCTCAAAAAAGTTTAGTTTCAAAAAACTTATTTTCTATTGAAATTGGTTCATAAAATCTTAATCCTCTCATTCTTACTGTAAGATATTAGGTATAGATGAATCATTCTTACTGTAAGATATTAGGTATAGATGTCTTTGCATACTAAACCTTGTATGAAATGTTGATGTCATACTGAAGTAAAAAGTTTATTTAAGGTTTTACAACTTTAGGTTTGATTTATGATATTAAAGTTTTACAATAAAGTTAATCAAATGTATTATTTTATTGTGTCTCTATTATATATATAAAAAAAATTAGTTTTTAAATATTAGATTTTTATATTGTTATTTTTATAAGATTTTTTATTTGTTTAACAAAAGTTAAACAAATAAAAAGGGCAAAAAAATAAGAAACAACTTATTTTTTTTGTTAAAAAAATTTATAATTAATTTTAAGACTTTTTTAAAAATTAAACACAATCTAAGACAAGGTATTTATTTATTGATTTATTATCAGGATCAAGGAGCAAAACAAAATTAAAAAATATCTTAGTGATATGCAGTTACATATAATGACCAAAGCTGTTTACTACATTTTTGAGACATTAAATGCTTATAATAACAAATTTAACATTACTAATGAA